GAGAAGTATTAGAAGCTACTGCTGTAGTGTGATGAAATACATGTGAGCCCTTCTCCTACCTGGGAAAAACGGTCACCTCAAGATTTGTTTTTCAGAGCTTGAGCGAAGTCTGGGTTGGTGAAGAAAGTGAATGCTAGCCCTTCAGCAATCAGTTACTTGCTGTAGATAGCCATCAGTGCTTCCATAATTGCATAATGCTCCAAATTCTTAAGGCTATAAATTAACATTCCTCTTGCTTAACCGTAAATGAGAGAAGGGTTAAGAAGCAGGGGTCTAAAGAACTGCAACATAAAGCGAGAAGGGTGGTTTCTATTCAACAGGAGAAGCAGCAGAGAATCACAGAATCATTAAGGTTGGAAAAGACCTTAGCTCATCAAATCCAACCGTCAACCCCAACACCACCATGCCTGCTAAACCATGTCCTGAAGTGCCACATCTACACGGGTTTTTTTTAACACCTCCAGAGGTGGTGACTCCACCACCTCCCTGGGCAGCCTGTTCCAATGCCTGACCACTCTTGCAGGAAATAAATTTTTCCTAATGTCCAATCTAAACCTCCCCTGACACAATCTGAGGCCATTGCCTCTTGTCCTATCGCTGGTTACATGGGAGAAGAGACCAACACCTGCCTCACTACAACCTCCTTTCAGGTAATTGTGGAGAGCAATAAGGTCTTCCCTCTGCTTCCTCTTCTCCAGACTAAACAATCCCCATTCCCTCAGCCACTCCTCATAAGGCTTGTTCTCTAGACCCCTCACCAGCCTCGTTGCTCTTCTCTGGACATGCTCCCGCACCTCAATGTCCTTCCTGTAGTGAGGGGCCCAAAGCTGAACATAGTGCTCGAGGTGCGGCCTCACCAGTGCCGAGTACAGGGGCACGGTCACTCTCCTACTGCTGCTGGCCACACTGTTCCTGATACAAGCCAGGATGCCGTTGGCCGCCTTGGCCACCTGCAGATACAAAGACCCGTAGCACATGAGTACTTCAGCTACTCAAGTTACTGGAACTGTAGTAAGAGATACAGCTGACAAGATAAGCTCTTACTGTGAGTCTCGTTAGTATATCAGCAAGATCAATCTTAGTAATAGGTGTCTTTAACATGAAGTATAGATTATTTATTATCTAATAATAATAAGTTGTTACATGACAGATATCCAGGCTAGAAGAGAAGCCCCAATGAGGCTGACACACGATTAGGGCCTTGTGTCATGCATATGTAAACTTTTGCCTATCCTTGCAGATGATAGAAAATTGGGAGTGGTTAGTACATCAGACAGTTGTGCTGCTATTCAGAGGGACATTAATAGGCAGGAGAAATGTGAAGAGAGAGGCTCAGTGAAGCTGAAGAAAAGAAAATGCAGAGCCCTGCAGCTGGGGAGGAATAGCCCCATGCACTGGTACACGCTGGGTGCTGACTGTCTGGAAAGCAGCTTTGCAGAAGAGGACTTGCACAGCACAGTGAACAGCAGGTTGCACTTGAGGCAGTGATGTGCCCCTGCAGCAAAGGAGGCCGACAGTATCTGGGCTGCAGTAGCAAATGCATCGCCAGCAGCTGGAGGGAGGCAATTTTTCCCCCCCTCTGCTCAGCATTGGTCAGACATCCGGAGCTCGGTGTCCAATTTTGGGCTTCCCCAGTACAAAGAAGGACATGGATTTACTGGAGCAAGTCCAGTGAAAGGCCACTATGATTTTGAAGGGACTAGAGCATCTGACATGAGGAGAGGCTGACTGAGAGAGCTGGGAATGTTCAGCCTCGAGATGAGAAGGTTTCGGTGGCTTTTATCACTGTGTATAAATACCTGATGGGAGGGAACCAGGCTCTCCTCAGCAGCATCCAGTGAAAGGAGAAGCAGCACTGAGAACACATCAAAATACAATAAATTCCATCTGAAGGTAAGAAAAAGACTTATGGTGAGAGTTGTTAAACACTGGAACAGGTTACCCAGGGAGGTTCCGAAGTTCTCATCCTCGGAGGTATTAAAAAACTGATGGGGTATATTGCTGAGCAACCTCCTCTGAGCAAGGGAAGTCCCTTCCAACTTCAACTGTGAGGAGCTGCTGAATCAGCTGACCTGGTAGTGAAGAGGCTGCTCAGTTCCGTGTCCTCAGGTACAGCCAGCAGCAAGCCTGAGCATGTATTCCCAACACATATACAATATGTGCATGTATATATATGCACACACACTGTACATCACTGGCCTGAGGCAGAAGACACAGCAGTCACGCAAGCACAGCACAAACAGCCTGATCCTCCTCCCTTCTCTGGCTGATCAGGATGAACCTGTTAGCAGCAAACATATACATAAATACTATGGATCCCTCTAGTGTCCAAGACCAGGTAGCCAGCAGCTGGATCCACCAGCTTGAGCCTGAGCTGGTCTCCTCAGTTGCTGGCACCAGGACAGAGCCCTGGGGGCCTGCAGCCTCACTCCAGCGCTGGGCACTCAGACAGCCCCCATGCATGCACATGCACAAGGGAGCCTTTCAGTGATCAGCCTTAGACATTGGCCCCACCCAGCAGCTGGCCCCAGGATGCGCTGGTCTCTCGGTCACCTCACACACAGATGCAAAAGGGTCTCTGGTAGCTGGTCTAGGGTCACCAGTAGCTAACTTCCAGATCTGAGAGCACCTGGCTTGGAATTCCTGGGAGCTCCAGCAGCTGCTCCTCAGACTGGTCTTTCCAACATCTGGCCAGATTCACAGCCGTGCCACCTCAGGGCTCTGAAGTCTCTTACCCTACTCACTCCCCAGCTACTCTGACTTGATTTTTGGTAGTGGTTACACATGGACATACACACGCATACAATATGCACCCACTTGGCTATTTCCAGTTGCTGGTACTTAGACCTCCACATGCACTGAACAGAGTCCCTTCACACAGGAAAAGGCAAAAAAATAAAGAGAAAAAAAGGAAAAACCTTTAGTAAGTAGACAAGACAGACTGCACTGATGACACAGAGCATGGCCAGACAAGTGTACTGTGCAGACGCAGCCAGCCCCTTCTGTGTCCTTTTCCCTTTGTCTCCGTGCTCACTCCCTTTTCCTGCCTTAGATCCTGCCCTACACATCCTGTAACAAGCGTTGTACAGTCCCTGAACGCTCCCCCCCTCCAACCCCAGGACTAACCTCCCCTTAGTCTGCAGGGTGAGCCAGGGAGCCCTTCCCCTTGACTCCGAGGGACAGGTTTCACACTCTGACACTATGGCTGTAGTCCTCCGACAGCTCTGGGAGGAGCTAGGTTAGAGTCCTTCTCTTCCCCATCACCGTTTCTCTCCTCTGTCCTCCTTAGTGTTTATGGCATGACCTTTTGATGGCATAATCTAGAAACAACCACTCAGAACAATGCCTACAAACAAGCAAGAACTCCGATTAGAAAAGAAACCAAGTGTACAATGTTTCTTCTTCGCTCATCCTATAGCAAACCTCCAAGGCTTTACTAGATCAATTTGCATGGAGTCATTAAAGATTCCCCCCAAACTAGCAAGAGAACAAGAGTAGGTTTCACATCTTTGAAGTACAGAAGCAGCGATGCTTACCACAAAGAGGAGTTTCACCTGCAGTGACCAAGACAGCGCAATGCTTAAAACCTCAAGCACAAACACTTTCTGAGTAGCAGTAGTTAAGGCAAAGCAAGCAAATTGACTCAAGTGGGTTGTAGTAGCTTGCCTCCCAGTGACACCATCAAGCAGGCTACAATCTTGCTGTACTGAAATGCAGTCTTCCACTGTTTCAAATGAGAGCTACTCATTCAGAAAGGTGAAAAGTAGGAATCCAAACAGTTTGAAAAGGAGACCAGGAGGTGGAGAGAGAAAGGCCGTTTTCAGACTCCCCCTCTCTGAAGGCTAGGTGGAACAGCAACTACACATACATTCTCTATTGCTTAAAATAGCAATCCTCAGGGGTAGTTGAACAAATACACCAGACACGTTAATGGAAAAACCCCACATTTTATTGAACACAAACAGTGGTTGGACAGTGTAGTTATTCAAAAGTTTTGCTCCGTTTGAGAGTTTCTAGTCCAGGAAATGGGGCTCGGTGCAGTAACACTCAGAGCCAGACAGTACGTTGCAACGACACTGCGGCTTTCACTGACAGCAGTGAAAGAATCCTTACTGGAATGGGGACTTTCCTCAGTCTGCTGAATCCTCATCCATGCACCGAGGCACCTCCTCACCATGTGCTGCCCGTCCTTGTGACGGTCTTTATTTGTAAACATGCATTCTTTGGACTGCTTTGCTACGCTGGTGCCCAGCCTGGCTGTCCAGAAACCACACTGGGAGATGATTCATTTTGGGGAGGAAAAAAGATTTTTTTTAAAAAAAAAGTTTCCAAACTCAGGAACAGAGTAGGATTCCAAATATTGCCAGTTTAATCCGGCTAAGGAAAAAAGAATTGACAAGACGGTTAGCCAGTTAAATCCATTAGAGACAGAAAAGCTGTAGTTGATTAGCTTTCTCCAGCAACAATAACAGAGACTCCCAGCGTGTTCTGCTTTCACACTCTGACCCAGGAATGAGGGAGGTGGCAGGGGAAAACATCCTGATAATGAGGTGGCATAAGAAAACAAACATTAAAAAAAAAAAAATCGATGACAGAAATGGTGCTGAGATGGAGGCTTCCACCTTTGAAGGTCAGATCATTGCTCTTGTCTTTGTGGAAGAGAAGAACGCTCGGCCCTTCCCAGCACCTGCCACCAGGTTGTTCTTGCGACTTCCACCAGGCGGTGGTGGAGGTCTGGTCTTTCTCCTCCAGAGTCTTGAGGGAAGAGTTTGTGCACTCATCTTGACCACAGCCCCCAGCGCGGAAAACGCTGTGGCCAGGAAGCGGCTACAGAAGAAGAGGTTCTTTCTTGGTGGGCGTGCAGTGTGAAGTCCAGGAGCAGTGAATCCTACGTGAGCAAAGAGCCGTGCTGGCATAGTCTCCATTGGTAGCAATGTGCCTTGTCAGGCAGAGGGACAGAACAATGGCGGGGAGGGGGAGAGCATTGAGCGCAGGGGTCTTGCGGGTATGCCCACTCCAAGCTCCTCAGCGAGCCGTTGTGGCACGCGCGGCGTGACATTTAATACACAGCACGTGCCCATCCAGTGGAAAGCACCCATTCTCGTCTGCTTCAATGGACAAGGGCTTCCCACAGTCCTAAACAGGGGAAGAAAAGAGGGAGGAAGCTCAATAACAGCCAACAGCAGGGAAAACGCATTCGAGGATGTAAGGAATGCCCTGCTGGGTCAGGATAATGGCTCACAGCCCACTGCTCTGTCTCAGCTGGTGCTAATGGGAGATACTATTTTGAGTGAAGAGTAAGCCTGTTCTGTGATCCCAGCATATTCCCCCAATACACACAGCTGCTCTATTAAGGATGTTAGAGACTACAGCCCTGCACTGTCCTTGTTCGTAGACCTGTGGTCTGTGAATGTCTAATCTTTTTCTGAGCCTGCTTCAAAAATGCTCCAGATTCATTCAAAACAACCTTGGTGTTTGGTCAGGATAGGCAAAGGTGCCTAGTTGCTGGCAGATGTGAATGGGAGAGATGAGAGGAGTGGGGCCACCAGGCTTACCTCACACTTGTAACATTTCATGTGGAAATTTTTCTCCAATGCCACCACACGCACAGTCTCATCCTTGCCAGGCTCTGGCATGATAGGCTCGCTACAGACTGAGCAGCGTGGAGCGTACTTCCTGCAACACGCAAAGATACAGAGGAGACCATGACCACGGTGGAGAAATTCAATGCAAGTTTCTCACTTTTGTACAATTATATTAGCAGCAGAGGGATAATAGGTCACAAAGAAGTTTAGGTGGGAAAAGAGCTTAATTGCTACTAGGTGCATCACTGACTCATTTTTAACTTCATGTCCAACAGATCGCATGGGCAACCCAACCCCATATGGCAGCAGAATTAAACAGGTGTGAGGAAATCGGCCTTCTTTCAGACAGCACATACACACGCTCTCCCCATACCTGTGGTAGTCATCCACACAGTGAGGCTGGTTGGCCTGGTCCACAATAAAAGAGGCCCCCTCAAGAGGGGTATGGCACATCACGCAGGTGAAGCACTGGGGATGGTACGAGTTACCAGTGGCCTTCAGCATCCGGTCTGTGATGGTCTGTTTGCAGACACTGCACTTTTCCAAGGTCCCCTGAGCCCAAAGGAAACAAATAAGACACATTAATCCAGTCCCCCACCCCTGCAAGGCCACACCACAGACAGGCAAGATGGAAGGAGGAAGGGAAAGCAAGAGAGCAACCACAGCAAGCGCAGCTCTCTCCAGCAGCATTCATCCCCATGACTCACAGCATAGCAGTCCTCGCAGAAGGGCTTCTCATCCACGTTGTAGAACTGTTGCCCCTGCAGCTGCTTCTCACATTTGAAGCAGGTGAAGCATTCCACGTGGAAGAGGCAGTCCAGGGCCCTCACAGCTGGCTGGGTTCGTGATAGGGGCTTCCGGCAGAAGCCACAGAGCTCTGTCAACGGAACACGAAAGGGATTAGGAGAGACAGAAACCCACCACAGTCTTAGTCCTACTGCTGTTCGCTGAGGGAACGCACCAGAAGTGGCAGCCTCTGCTGGGGGCGGGTGCTCCATATCCTTCATTAGTTTCTGGGTCAGCTTCTCCAGCTCTTCTACCTCCTTCATGGTCAGACAGGAATTTCCCCTAGGTGGATCTGCGCTGGAGCCTGTGGGTCTATGCTGTTGGAAGAGGAAAGAGTCAGTCCCAAAGGACACATATAGACAGACCCCTTCCTGCCTTAATAAACCTACTTGTCTCCCCTTTGCTGCTTCTCTCTGTCTCTCTCTAGAGAACAATCTGCCATCCACTGTGCTCGCTTCTTTCCACCTTGACATGAAGTCCTATCCCTCTCCACTGCTGTCTCTAGTTACATCTCTCTTTCAGATGGGATAGACCCTCCCTCCTCACTCTCCAACTTCACTCCCAGTGATGCTGTGCCTGTCCAAAGACATTGGTCCCACAGCTCTATCCCTTACCATGTCTTTCACAGCAGCAGGTTGTTCTGTGGGACGCGGCTTCTCCTGCACTTGGGGTCTTTCCCTCTGCTGGGCATAGGTGAAATTGGGAGGCTGCGGCCGAGAGGAGGGACCTGAAGGTGAAGGGGCTGTGAACTGAGTCTGAAGGGAGGTAGGATATCTTGTAGAGTTTGAGTGGGCCACGGGGACATTGGCACCTGGCTTGGACCCAGGCTTAGGAGCGCCAGCAACAGGGAGTGGGGTGAATTTAGGGGTTGGCTGAGCAGGAGGGAGAGAGAGGGGCGGAGGGACTGGTGCTAGGGGCTCCTTGCGTTGCTGTGGGGCTGCCCACAGGGTTGGGGCAGGGCTCAAATCCACTCCAGGAGGCTTGAATGGCAAGCTTCCACTTGGCTTCGGAGTGAACTTGGACGGAAAGGAATGAGGAGTGTCTCTGGGTGCAGATGGTATTTCCACAGGGGCTTTCAGGGCCAATGGTTTCTCCAGAGAACCTGTGGATCCTGGAGATATCTGTAAAGGGAAGCAGCAGAGAGAAACAGGCAGTTATCAGCAAGGTGGAAGAGCAAATAAGCAGTAAGTCAGCAGCTACAGACAGCAATCTCAGCCCCACAATGCTAAGAGTTCCCACACTGTTACACATTTAGCAGTCCTGAAAAGTGGCAAGGATCTATGCTTTCTGATCCTTCATGTACACTTTCTCTCTGTGGTTTATCCAGACATTTTAATCTTCTGTAGCACCCTTCTCTCTACCTCCGTTCAGCAAATCAGTCATCTCTCCTTCCACCTGCAACATTCCAGACAGCTCACCCGGGATTTGAAGGGGTCATTCTTCTCCATGTCATCCAACATTACGGACAGTGAGTCAATCTCAAGATCAATGCTGCTCATCTTGCCACGTACCTATACCACCATCCATTAGGAAAGAGGGAGCAGAGCACGTTACAGGAACAGCCAGAGAACCAGGTGTATCCCCTTATAACACCAGATTTCAACACTTTGGACTGTGGTACAGATCTGCTCCTTGCTTTGAGTGGATAGCAAGTTGGTGAGGATGAACAAGGCACAAATGCACAGCCCAAAGAAACTCACAGACAGATTTAGGTGGGAAAGGACATCTGGAGGTCTCTAGTCCAACACCCTGTTCAGCAAAGAGCAAACTCTCAAGCTAGAACAGGTTGCTCAGGGCCTTGTCCAGGCGATTTCTGAACATCCCCAAGGATACAGATTCCCCAGCCTCTCCAGGCACCTGTTCCAGTACCGAGCCACCCTTGGAGGGGAACAGGTTTTTCTTCTGTCCAACAGGAATTTCCCTTGCCGCAACTTGCGTCCATTGTCTCTTGTTCTCTTGCTGTGCCCCAGTAAGAAGAATCTGTCTTCTCTGCAGCCCTCCTTTAGGTATTGCAGATTGGAGTTAGATCCCTGTCTGAGCTTCCTCTTCTGCAGGATGAACATACCCAACACTGCCATCATGTCCTCCAACCCCAATGATGGCTATGACCTTTTGCTGCATAGCATCTAGTCCAGTGTTCCTCTGGGGTTACTACAGCAGGGAGTCCAGCTGGAAACAGTCCTCCAAGATGCAGCCTCACCAGCACCAAACAGAGGAATAATCACTATCCTTGTCCTGCTGACCACACTCTCACCAATGCTGCCCAGCATGTGGTTGGCCTTTATTGCCACAAGGGAGCATTGCTGGCTCACATTCAATTCACTGACACCAGGAAGCCCAGGTCCTTCATCTGCAGAGCTGTAGCTCAGCCAGCCGACCCTAACCTACGCTGGTCCACAGGGCAGTAGCATTTTCTGCTTTCTCAGATCTCAGGACTTCCTGCTGCTGAGTTCAGAGAGTAGTGAGAAGCTGTCCCAACTCAAAGAGCATCACAAGAAACTGTCCTTCCCTTGACCTCACTCACCTGTGGGGCAGGTACTGTATTCACAGGCCCTTCATCAAACATCGGTGGTGGCGGCGGTGGAGAAGGAAAAACTTCTTCTGGGGCTGGTGGAAAAGGCTCTTCAAAGGGTGGTGGCGGGGGGGGAAAAGCACAGTTTGAGGAGAAACTTGCCTCCTCTGCAGGTGGGGGAGGAGGCGGCAGTGGCAGCTCTGTGGGGAGGAATGAGAATAAAAAGCAAGTTTGGATCATTTCTTACTCTTAGCCAATACAGACCCCAAGAGAGTTCTTAAAGGTATTACAGCAAGCAGTTCCCCAGTACCCAGGGGACCCCAGCACCCACCAAGGACAACTGAACTCCACAGGCTGGCTGTCACCTTGTCCAAAGCTATTTGCCATCATAGAAGCTTTCCTCAGTAGCTACTGCAATTAGTCACTGGGAATAGTTATTGTGTAATTGGGAAACATGCCCTTTCCCACTCCTCCCCTCACTCTTTCGTCCCTAGCACAGCTCCTCTTGCCAGTACCTGGCTCGGATGGCTGAACACAGAGCAGCATTTGAAGCAATGCCAGCGGACAACCCAGGACCCTGAAGAGCCTGCGTTACTGCAGGAAAATAAGCTGGCACCTCGCAGCTGTCTAGTAAGCACTGCAAGAAACAAGCTGGGGGCTGGAAAAAACCCCAAACAAATCAGACCAACTGCCCCTTACGCATATGAGGAATCTTCGACACTGCTTTATATTTCTGGGAGATTAAAACAGCTTTCCTTTTGGAGGCTAAAATGTCCCCATACTACCCGATACGGATAAGAATTTTTCCAGAACCCTTTTAAGCAGGTTGAAAAGCACCAGAGCGCCTCAGTCTCCTAGAGGAAAACCCCGTTGCTTCCACCTAGTCATATTCGCCAAAGATGTGGAACAGGCAAAAGAGAGACTTTCTGCTACAACACAGTGAATCCTCTTCCCTTCACCACGCATGGGAGAGGTTGTCCTCTTATCACCTAAGCCCCAAAGAACGCTGAAGACAAGGAGGCATAACTCCCACATCCCTTCTTCTGAACACCCACCTCTCTTCCTAGCTAGCCCCAACCAGCAGCAGGGTGAAAGACCACGTTTTACACTTCTGTTACTCCACGTGCAACTTTTAACTGCACTAATCGAGTTCTCGCATCTTTATATCCAGCTGTTCTCAACAGACTTTTTAAGGACTTCTCATCTGCAACCTAAGAAAGACGATACTGCCCTTTCAGAAAATGAAAGCTGAAATCTCATTATCCAGTGGAACGCATAACCTGCAGTGGTATGCAGCACCTCTTCCAAGCATTCTTGTGCTCCAGAAATTCTGCTTGTGGGGAAAGCAATACTTGTCTGGTATTTTTTCTTTGAAACTACAGTTTGGGATCAAGTTTGTACACGCTTGCCTTTTGGTTTATTGAAATGATAAAGAATATTGCAGAAACAAAGCTCTGATCTGCTATCACATTGTTTCAGATGCACTAAAAGCCTGTTTCATGAATTATTCATACAAAAAAAGAGGTCCCCGTAAAATTACTATACCAGATTTATAGAATGATCAATACTAAACATAACACTTCTACAGCAACACTAACTTAGCCATCCTGTCTTTTAAGACAAAGAGACCAATTGCCATGGCTTTATCTCATACTGCTGTTTGCTTGGGATGCATATAAGAAAGGGAAAGGAGGATTAAAGAGATGCATCAGAGAAGGATCAAATCAGATGTATTTCCCTCATGACTGAGTTTTGGTGGTCCATCTGTACTTCAGATGTTTTTCTGGCAGACCTCACCCGATGGCGACACAGCAGCTTAAGCTGAATGGCTCTTTTGCTAATCTTTCAGTCAAGTTAGCTCCTCCATAATAAGCTTTATAAGGAAGGGAGCAGCGGAGCAAACACCACCCAATCCTCCACTTGTACTGTATACTGAAAAATAATTTTTAACATCCATCCGTCTACTTTGGTACTTCAGGTAATGTATTTGTGTCAGTTTGAGACCTTCCGACAGACACATACCTAACCCGCACAAGTGCAACAGACAATTGTAAAGCCTAAGATGGGACCTTGGATTACAGACATAAGATTCCAGCCAACAACGTATGAGAAGAGGCCACCAGATTTAGCTTGTACTATTCTAGAAGACAGAAGCACCCTTGGGACCCGAAAAAAAAAAAAAAAAAAAAAAAAAACGGCTTAATAATTTGTCTCCTCTGAGCACAGGACCAGCCTTCCTACCATCAGGTCAGCTGCCCACTAGCTTAGCATGTTAACCAAGAAAACATCAGCGTTGCACCGTCCATGCTAGACAGTGAAATGAAAAAAAAAAAATATTTAAAACAGCAGCTAGCACTATCTGAACACTTGTGTCCTGACTGAGACGTACCCTGACAGAGTCTTGGGGTAACACGCAGCATCAAGCGTTAGCAAGAGGTCCCATGGGAAATTTCCAGTGACCCCATGGTGATCAGTTCCAACTAGGGAGCCACACAACCAGGAACCTTCTGCTTCTTAGAGGACACAAAACCAACCAACAAAAAAACGAAACAAAAAACAACACCCCATCACCACAAAAAAGAAAAAAAAAGAAAAAAAAAAGAAAAAAAAAAAAGAAAAAAAACCACACTGAAGTAAGAAGTCACACTACACAGGAAAACACACCCAACCCAAACCGCTAAGAAAAAGTACAAAACTCTACAAGCTGTACAAACTCAAAGTCTCACTTCCTGTTTATGATAGCTTCCACCATTTTTTTCATGCAATTATTTCTTTCTCCCCATCTCCAGCAGCAAAGATGGCAATTGCAGAGGCCGTGAGAAGGATCTCTACAGTCAGAGACAACCAGCTTGAGCCGAGATGAATCACCAAGAAGGAGAACAGCATGTTTCATCACCATCAGGGTCAACTTCCCTGCAACATACTTGCTTTCAGACATGCTGGCCAGAAACCAACTGGAGTTACACAATTATGCACTCAGGGAATACTATGAAAAATCCATTGCATTCCTCCAGCGTCAGCACAACTCAGTGCAACACAGGATTGCCTTCCCACCTCATTCCTAATGGAGATAGTATGTGCTTTGAGATCCCTTTACAACCATTTTATCTCATTCTGGAACCCACCAGCCTCTATGGCAAGAGTATCCATCAGCTATGCCCCTGTTCTCATGTTTAGCCCAGTTACAGCCCTCACACCCTGAGAATTTAGAAACACATACTCACATCTGCTGTGCCAGCCCTCACCTACCTTCTGCCAGCACGGACATGGACACTGGTGGGATCTCCCCCACCTTCCCTATCTGAGCACGCTGGGCGCCAGCTCCAGGAGGCGGGGGCAGCGGCGGCTCTGACGCACCCCCAGCCTTGAAGGGGTTCACCTTGGGTTTAGGGGCAACCACTGGTGCAAACTTCTTCTGCGGGTTGTAGAAGGAAGGGGTAGAAATGTTGATACTGACTGTGGATGTCATGCGGGTTCCTGGGGCACCTGGGGAGGCCATCTTCTTGGCACCTGGCAGGAGAGCAGAGAGAGGAAAGCTGTAGGAAGTCAGCCTTGGGCTAGAGTGGAAACTAATAGACGAACTTGTGAAAACAGAGGGACAGAGAAGTTTAAGTCTGTCCAGAGGCTGAGGTGCCCAAGCAGAGCAGAGCAGAGCCCTTCCAGGATCAGCAGACGGAAAAAGAGGGATAGAAACTGCAAGACAGCTGGAACGAGCCAGTGTGCTTCACCGTTTCCACTCAGTATGGCATCACCCACACAGGGGTCCTTGCCACAGAGAAAGCCAAGTGCCCTGCTGCGCGAGAACCCCGCACGCACACTGGGGAGGAGAGCAGCGGGCCACCAGAACGAGTGCCACCGGCCGCGCACAGCAAGCCCCGCACACCCTGCTGCAGCTGGGACTCCCACCCCGGGGCAGTGCAGCCAAGGACAGGGGCGAGAGCAGGGCAAGCGTACGAGGCCTCTCCGCTCTCTCCTCTCCCCGAGGACAGCCCCACCGAGCCAGCGGCGACCAGCGGCCCACCAGAACGAGTGCCACCGGCCGCGCACAGCAAGCCCCGCACACCCTGCTGCAGCTGGGACTCCCACCCCGGGGCAGTGCAGCCAAGGACAGGGGCAAGAGCAGGGCAAGCGTACGAGGCCTCTCCGCTCTCTCCTCTCCCCGAGGACCCCCCCCCCGAGCCAGCGGCGTCTGGAGGAGCCGCAGGGCTCACATCGAGAGCCGCTTTTCTAGGGTTCCCTCAGGCCTGCAGTCCAGCCCAGAACTCTCCACGAAGCCAGAGGCTTTGCTGAGCAGCCTGGCGTGCCTGCAGCCCTCCTAACACCCCAGCACAACGGTGCTTCCGCCGGTGCGTGGGCTCCGCGCCAGCGTTTCGAGTTGGCACGGCCAGATCAGTGCCCTTCTCCCACGGACAGTAACAGCTGCTGGGACGGACAGCCCTGCTGCCACAAACACCCGCCCGCTGCCAACCCACCCACAGCTGCTGTGAAGACCTGCATGCCCACGACTCAGTGCGGCATGGCAAGACGGAGTCACCTCTACCAGTGTCTCCGGGTCACACGCGTGTGACAAGGCAGATGTTAACTCCATGATGCTCTGCTTTTCATTCCCTCTGTGCAGGGCTAACGAGTTGCACGCATTTTGACAAACTCTTCTGGGCTTTCCAAAGGGAGGAAGAGGCTGCAACTGTAAGCAGCAGCCAAAAAGCTGTGTGGAGCATCTCCCACACGATCCAGCCAAGGCAAAAGGGTAATGAGCAAGGTCTGTCCTCAGTCCCTCAGACTTGTAGGCGTCAACAGACTTGCAAGTCAGAAAGGACTGAACAACTTCCTCCAGTCTGCAGCTTCCCCGATGGGCTACAGAAGCCTTTAAAGACCTCCAGCCTTTCTTTGGAGACTTCTGCCTCACGCTCCGCTGTTTCACTACAGTGTAATGAACCACTTGGTAGTAGTTCTACCAGAAGTGCCAGCATTATGAGCAGAACACCACAGTGACTGCACCACTTCTGACCACGACCCATACCGGGGTTGGTTAACACAGCAGCAGTCTCGCGGCATCAGGTGGTTCACAAAGCAGCACTGGCTGTGCTGTCAGCAGCTGCTCGCTCCCTCAGCCCAAAGCAGCGCATTTCCCAGCGTGCTACGTCGCACTCAAAGCCCTTTCTGCTCAGGGCTGTCTCCATCCAGCAGCTGCCCCTGCTCATCCTCACTTCTGTTTATTGGGCCACCCCCGCACAGACCGAACAGGCTGAGGAAGGCTGGCCTTGTCCAGAGTCACCCCCCCAGCCCTGCCACCAGCATCTAAGCCTTACCAGGAACACACGGTTTATGCGTGTCCTGCAGCACTGTTTGTGAAAGCTATTGGAGAGGGAGTGTCACACCAGCAGACCTAATCTCAAATCCTTCTTGTCCTCACATTTTTCCCCTGAGGGGAGAGATTTTTCTGCCTGCTGTAACAGCATTTAAGATGACTCAAGTGGAGTTATGAAGATGCCTCCAAAGGATGCAGTCAGGATACTTAGTTGCCTCACACACTGTTCGTCTCCAACGGAGAGCAAGGAGGACAGAACCAGCAGCAGGGTCACCTCCCAGAAGGTCCCAGGGTGGGTCACCCACCTGTTGCACGCCCAGACGGCTTTCAGTCCTTTGACCCCAAGACACCACTCTGAAAAGCTCTGCTCCTTCCCTGGGGTGGCAAAAGGAGGAGGAACCTGAGGAGGTGGAGGGCTCAGTGTTGCTTTTCACCTCTGTTGGTAGGAACCAGAGCCACACAGGGAGCCCCAGTAAAAGCCCAGCCCAGCCCGGTGGCCTGACACACCGAATCTGTACTTCCCCTGTCTGCCAGCCTCCTCCCAACTGAGGGGGGCCAGAAGGAGAACTACGGCAAAAAAATACACACTATGGAGTGAACAGATTGAAGAGACTTAGGAGCCATGGCTTATTTTTCACCCTCTCATACAGGCCAGTTCCAGAAAGTTCTCCCGGCCTGGTCCAAAGTTATGAAGCTTCAAAGAGAACAAAGTCCTACCAGCTATGCAAGCTGCAAGGCAGAGCCTTAAACCAGCCGGGCTGGGGGAAAGGAGGGGGGGGCGCATTCAGAGCTACAAACTTCTGTCACCTACGCCGGGCTTGCCTCCTCCCTGTGTGGAGGAGAAAGTTAAAAAAAAAAAAAAAAAGGAAAAAAAAAAAGCTCGTATTTCCCATTTGAATTTTCTTTGGCTCTGACTTCAGACATTTGTTCTTATTATTCTTTTCTCCACTAAATCACAGC